ATGCTAGCTTAATAGGATTCATCATTCCAACAATTAAATTTGGAACTTAGTCTTTTAGCTCAGCAGTGACCCATTACTCACAAAATCACGTTAGGAATAAAGACATTGCCAGTGACCAAAAAACGTTAAAACCCCCCAAGAACTCTACTGTCACCTGTTATTTCTTCAATAATTGCTATCCCCCTTGACAACTTTTCCTATATAAATTGTTGAAGCTTAATTGTTTCATATCCAAGTGTGGTAGCTTTAGGGGTGTTTAATCTTAATTGCATAATATTGTTTAAAATGACCATATGAATTGTAGATCGTTCTATTTCAGAATTTAATTTTTTTCCTTGTTTAATGTCTAGAAAATTTTTTTTCCTCAAGAATTTCGAATTTCAATAAAAATACTCGCGATTCCAAGTTTGATATTCTCCATAATTTTCAATATGACAGAGTGAAGGATCTTGTTCAATGCTAAAGGTGGTGTTGTAGAATCCAAAGTCATTGATGTAACCACAGTGAGAACTCTCGTCGACCCAAATCTGATCTACGGGTTGTTCCTCAGCTGGTAGGTAACACATGTCAGATTGAACATATTGCCCCAGATTATGCTGGTATTCGTATTGCTCCAAACATGGTGAAAATGACTCGGTGTTATAAAAGACCTCCCTGTGCATATCTTCAAAAAGGGGGAAGTCCTGTTCAGTTTGTTCGGAACCTGAATCTGAATCGAAAAGAGTATATTCGGTAGTTGATGATTCAGGGGTGGCAATGGATCGTGGTGAATGACAGTTTACAGATTCCTCCCTTTTGACGATTGGCGATGTCGTTGAGGGCAAAGGTTGAGAATTATTGATTGCAGCAGTTTCCGATGGTTCTCTTGACTCCATCAGTTTTTCTCGCTTCTCGCCTTCCTTTGACTCCAAGAAATCAGGATCAAGCGTCATAATCGGATCACAAACAATTTTGTAACCCCTAATTATCCTTTTCCTCTCTTGAAATTCTTTGTCAATCTCTTGTGCGATCTTAGTGTATGCAGCTTTGACCTCCTTGGATTCATTCTTCCAGTTATAGCTAACTAATTTGGAGACCTCCGTCATTCGAAATTTAAGATTCTTGTCGGAGAGATGTTTGACGAACGCCTTTCGATAAACAAAAAATGCATTCGGACTTTTTGTATCAAGATTCGTGGAAGGCCTTCCCAAAAAATCGTCCTTGGTGACAGTTGGTGGGAAGAGTGTTATCTTCATTTGTGGAGTAACGGTTGTTGGATTAGTGTTACGCCTTGAAGACTTGGTAATCTTTGAGTTTCTTCGAGTCATTTTCCTTACAATCGTTAATAAATAATAATAATAATAGTAGTAATAATAATATAATAATAATAATAATAATAAATTATAATTATATTTATATATATATTTCGTTAAAAAAAAATACGATAAGAATTTTTTTTATTGAAAAAATCGTTGATTACAGTCTAATGGGGAATCAGGGCATTTATATTTTTTTTTCGGGTTTATTCTCCGTAAAAAAAAAAAAAAAAAATGGTATATATTTCCTTATGCATTATTACACACTCTATTCTATGATTATTTTATTTTGGGTATTGATAAGAACTTATAAAATGTACTGCTGCCCACCCATAATTGGTAATATAGATTATAATATTTTGGTGGAACAAACATTTGGAATTCGCTGCTGAAAACCAAAAGCAGTAAAGATTACCTGTGTCCTGGCTAACCCATTGAGCGGAATGTGTCACGTGACGTTTGTTGCGACAATAAAAAGTGCCACATGGCCATCCTCATTTAAATTCTATAAATAAAAATTTATTTTTTTCGCATTGTCATCTGCCAATTAAGGAGCTTGTTGACCTTTATTGGCCTCATTGGAAATTCCATCCCGAACCCCATAGTGGTGTCATTGTGGCTGAAAAGCTTCATAGGTCGAAGATTTG